CAGCCTCGGCCGAAACCGTGACACATATTTACTTATCCCTCAGTAAATAAAACCCAAATTACATGTGTATGCCCCTTTAAGATATTTCACTTCCATCCGATCACAAAACCCAAAATAGAAATAAAATCCTATACAGAATAACATTTCATACTAAGTAGTTTGTTTGTGGTTATTCGAACACCATATAGTAAAACAATAAACAAACAAAAAATGGCCAGGCCTTATTTATTTGGGTAGCTCCCTATGACAACCTAAAAATAAAACTACTTAATTTTACTAACTAGTTCCACCCTAGCCTACATACTTTGTTAACATCCCAATGAGATATAAAGAAATCCCCATGTTCCTGGAAGAGAAAGTATACATGTCGTTAACATAGAATCAACAATCCAAAGATAGTAATTACACACAAAACATCATACATATATCCCCAGTCCTATCTCATCAACAATCATTCGTATCAATCTCACTCCTCAGAACTACTCCCATCGTTCAACGTACTATAAACAAATTATCGTTATCTGAAGCAATGAACCATCTTCATAACTCACCGCTGTTTAACCAAACTATATAATGTCATAATAAAATGATCAATTATCAAATATCGTTCCTTATTCAACTATCGAGACATGTTCTTCATTAGTAAATCGTCTCCACAAAGCAATACTACCTAATAACATATTCTCATTCTCCTAAATATAAATAATTACTTCTATTAAACAATCCCATTCAACATCAAGTCAACCTGTCTCATCACCCAATTAACTTACTTATTTTTTTTTTAAACCCTCTACAATATCTATCATACTCTACCGCTAATTTTCCTCATAACGGTACCTCAACAGATGACAAATTATTTTACATTTATAGTAAAAACCAATAAAACATCCAATTCACCGATATGCAATTTTAATTACTATGTTATCCTATCCGACATGGATTGGTAGGACAACATCTTTCCTATAATGTTATCAATGAAACCAGTAATTCACGTCAATAGCATCAATGTAAAAGATTTGCTTTCTGTCCCTTACTGGATTCGAACCAGGGACCCTCTGCACACATCGACAACATTCACCATCGAAGCACCGTTACCCATCGCTCCACAAAAGCCACGACCCCTGCAAAGCAACTACTTCCAGTTCATAGAGCAAGTGACGTCACCCAACGAAAACCTCACTAGCTCTCACCGCTAACTAGCTAGCAATTTCCTGCCGATAATATTCAACTTCCTACGACTTCCTACAAAAACCTGATCCTTGTACACCTAACGTAACCCATAATGTCCCTTATAGCGCTCTCACGTTTCAGCAAGCCCCAATGGTTAACACCCGCAGACAAAAATGGAAATTCTTAAATTTTTACTAGCAGACCTACTAATAAAACACACTTTCAAACAACGTTCTGCATTTACCTCTATCATAGGGTTTAAAAACGAACTTAACAACATTAACCATCCTAAATTGCTGTAGTAACGTCATGTTTGGTTCAGTTGATCTATTACCATATAAGACATTCACTTCTCCATGCGTCGTGAACTATATCCTATTTCTCTTGTAATCAACTAAAATCATAGCCACAACCATCACTCCGCCATTATCAGAATGAATGAACTATCCTTTCTAAGTAAGCTACAAGTAACACCAAACACTTGCTGTAGTTTACCATCATATATTGAAATCATCCATTTATCACGATCCAATTTATTTATAGACATATTCCACCATTGTCACTCGATTAATCTAGCAAAACCTTATTCAATGACTAAAAAATTACTACCACGCACTCTTCTCTCCATAACCATTAGTTAGTCATTTAGCTGATGCTCTTATCCCAAGCGACCCACATTTAGTGAGCTCATACATTTTTATACTAGCCCCCCTTGGGAATCGAACACGCAACCCTGGCATTGCAAGCACCATGCTCTACCAACTGAGCTACAGAGGACCACAGATGAGCGTATAGTGCCTTTTTCTGATAATGTTATAATTGTAGCCTATTGCATTACTTTAGTTTAAAATATAAGTTTGTTTATTCAACAAATCTAGAACCCACTATAAATTGGTGCTATTCCCTCAGCATAATAGCCAAAGCTCCTTACATGCCCTAGTTCACGTAACGAAAATACATTATCATTCTAGAATTCACCAACTATTCGCATACATTACTGGTGTCACGCAAACTATAGAATAAAGTAATAACAATTAGAATTTTGTCAAATAAATGTTTTCCATCCAGCTATTCAAACTTGCTTCAAATATCTCTTTCAGCTCGATACAGTCAAGCAAGTACGACTCTCTTTTACCCGGAAACCAGTTCATGGCATTAGTAAAATCTATTCACATCCCAACAATAACTAATAATATATTTATATTCATATTATTAAAATACCTTACTTTCATTCCAGTCTACCTAAACAATTGAAATTATGGCCATAACTCTATCGCAATTGCCAGTACGCTATTCAAATGTATTTAACTGTCCTTTCTGACTATAGTCACTCCTCCTTCTTTCCCGTTGAATAAGTGAGTCCTTCAGTCTGAAAAGACGCAGGCTGCTAAATCGTCCAGTCTTATCCTGAATGTTCCTTCAATCTAAACAACCCACAACCATAGCTGAACTATACTTAGAAAACCTAGACTCTAATCAGCGATGCAGAATCTATGCTTTATTGAAATTACAAGTTAATCCTCCTTTATTCCAATGATAATGGTCAGTAGTTTTAGTATCTGGCACATACCACACTTTATCAGAAAATAGCTTTGAAGGACACAGATCTCACACACTCAACGTAAACAACTTAACAGTCAACGAGTCAAACCCCACATTCATTGATTCGGAACCAAATCTAACGACCTAACCAAATGAATTATATTTTCCCCTAATATACTAAAATTCCTTGACTATATCACCTCTGCTTCTGAAATAATAGATAGTTTATTATAATGCTTAATTCTACCACATGCCCTATGTACTCTCTCCCATTTCCACGTACGTCTACGTGTTTGGACAAGTCAACACCTATAATTTTATCCAATCCCTCGTATTAAATTACACTCACATAAAATTCTTTTTATTCCAATATATTCATATCTACCAAACCATTCATGTTTCTAATGATTCTTTATTGCCACAAATCAGTTAATCACAATCTAGTCTCAGCGGAACGAACAACAAATCACCCAAATCCTTCCCCTCAGTCATAGAATCCTCCCAGAATCGTATAAGCTGGTCACTATTCACTGATCTCACAAAATTCTATGACAGGCATTGTTGTATGAAACTCCAAGATATCATTTACATGAAAAGCTTATTATTCCAACGTATATATAATTATCATACACACCTCTATATCTTGAAGCCTTAGTGACTGTTTAACCCGTTCACCTACTCAGGATGACCTAACTTTTTTTACCTGATCAACCCTGCCTAACTTTGGCATCACCACAAGACAGGATAATTAATGCCCCACCTACCCGAGCAGACCTCTAACAATGAATTCCTCATTAGAGCGGTAACCGTAGGTCCCAAATTTAGCTAGCCACCTGCCCGTTCAGCCCTCTGGAGCGCTAATTTTAGCTCTCCAAAGCGGTATCCACAGGATTTCTATTTATTTAGCCCCCTAGGTGATCCACTTCCTCTACACACCTGGACTTTTACTACGCTTTCCTAAGCGACCTGTAAATTCTTCCCTTCTTCTCTGATTCACTTCCTCGCCACAGAAAACAAGCAGTATTGCACAGGATTTCGCCTACTTAAGCAGCCTATAAACGATACACTTCCTCGACACGTTTATAGCGGTATTCGTAGGACTTAACATGTTATTGTCTGATCGCTCAACCAGATGGACAACCGCCCGTGCCGAAATGACCCAGACAAAGCGATCAGCTGGATGAATCAAATGAATCAAATGAATCAAATCAATTGGACAGACGGTTCAGCCGAACAACAGAGTGATATCGACATGTATTCTTAAATTCAAAAGCTCCCAGTCTCTAATTTTCTGGTTCTTAAATTTGGAGAGACCTACTTGGTATTTCTGCAGCTGATGCCGTGCCCCAGATCGAACCACACAAACGTTTATACTATATAAGTAAGAACTTGGCTTACCTTTTAAAAGCGGCCGCTTTTGTTTGTATGGTCCGTCCAAGCCGTTTCATAACTGCAGATGTACACCGTCTCTGGACCCTTTTTTTTCAACTCCTGGCAAGCTCGCCAAATATGTCGTGGAAATATTTGACTAAAATATAGTCAACTCAAAAATATCTCTCAAGAGACTGGAGCTTGTGAATCCAGAAATTAGACTTTATTATTGCGTAACAAAGCCGAGCCACTCCATGGAACGGCTGTCTCTCTTTGGCTTAGAGATCTCTTATATACACACACAAATGCACAGTCATTTATACATAGCTTACAAAGCTACTCCCGTTAAGATCACTGATTAACATCTTTAACTGCCACGCCACTATTATCTTTGAAAGTCCAATAACACATGTTGTTTACTCCAAAAGGCCATGGGCGCTTTTGCCTCTTTCCCTTATCTCATTATATTGGTGGCATGGCTCAGACACTTTAAAAAATAAAATACATACATTCATCAAAGCATGTTTACACATTGTATTGACTATATTCCTTATTTAGACATGCATATGGACTTATAAAATGTCAATCATGTTTACTATATTTTATCTTTGACATTTCCCAACATTTTCCTTAATGATATATAAAATATTACCATATAGTCAGTCATAGTCATGGAGAAATCCTTGGAGGACATCCCATACTCCTTTATCAGTTGAGAGATGAGATCTGGGTCAGTGAACTTATCTGGTAGTGAGGTGAATTGAGGCTCAGAATCTGGAACAAATATAGAAATCCAGTTTTACGGTAGGGAAGCTCAAAGAGGAAAAAGAGATGTTTAGTTAACATTATAACGACACTATAATCCTGAAGATACATTTATTTAGGATCAATTTATGATCTATCTGAGAGAGATGGAGTCAGTAGACACAGACACACACAGCAGCAGTACCAAGTTGGTAGTGGTGCAGGGTGAGGGTGGTATCGGACCCTGAGCTCAGGATGGTTGCCATAGTAACTTTCCTCAGGGCAAGGTCACAGAAATGAAGCTCGTTCTCCTCCCTCTGCTGGACATACTGAGGTGTGCTGTCACTGGGCGTGGCTATCACCTGGATCACAAATGAACCAACACATCTATCACAAACAAACAGATTGATTGATAGACTTAAAAGTTACTCATAAAAGCATTTACCATAAGTCTTCTGTTCCCCTTCAAATGCTCTACAAAGTCCATCAGTGCTTTCTTGTCGTTCTCATTCCCCTCTCTGTGGGATTTCTTCCCTCTCCCTCTCCCTTTCTTCTTCTTCCCATCATTCTTCCCTCTTTTGGATTTGTTTTTCTCTAAGGATTCTCCTCCCCCACCAACGTCCTCTGGTTTAGGCCTATTATCACTCAATTTGGCTACAGTCTTTTTTTCTCTTGCCTCCACAGTAGAGTGGTATGTGTTTCTTTCTGTAGCAACATTTCTACTATTCTTTTGGTTGTCCTCTCCGACAGCTTTGGAGTTTGCCTTCCCTGTGATTAATATTTGTGTTCCTTTTGAATCAATGGGCTTCTTTCGAATGACGAACCTGGAGCGACCACTGAGGATGTCCTGAATTTTGCTCTTCGGTGCAGCCTTCTTGTCCACAGGCTTCCTCTGGACGACAGAGGTAACGTTTGCCTGCATATGGAGACTGAACACCTTCTTTATCACAGGAATCTTTTTCTTCACCATCCTCTTCTTGATGATTTTACATTTCAGAGGGGAGCCCTTCCTGGTGAGTTTTTCCAGCTTGCATATGGGGAACTGATCAATGACCTCCAGGATGGCCTCCCCACGGACGGGGTAGGGGAACCGCTCACTCACCCTCAGATTCTTCTTCATGACTAGCATGGAAAAGCCTTCGTCCCCCAGCTCCAGGTAATGCAGCAGCTTTGTGACCATGTCTGGGTCGATGCTCTCCACAGTGGCCTCTCCCTGGAAGGTGGTCTTCCTGATCCTGCCTTCCATCATGGCGTTCTGAATGATGGTGACCATAAAGGTGTCCCTCTCGGCCAGGCGGCAGTTTAGCCCCTCCTGCTCCATGTCCTGGATCTGTTTCTCCATCATGCGGAGGTAGTTATCGCTGTGAGACGGGGCCGTGATCACCCACAAACGCTTCTTACCTGCAAAATCAACCAGAAATTCTTGTTCTGGGTCGAGGCTTGCTGCAGGACTGTCTGGGTTTCCCTCTCCGCCACCCCCATGATCTTTCTCCGGAGCCAGGACACCAGCAGGTTCTTCATACTGGGGTCTGGTCTGATGTCTGCCATTCCCTGGCCGTGGGGCGGACACCCCTGGGCTGTGACTCCACAGAGAAACCAGGACAAGCAGAGCAGAGAGCAGTCGAGACATCCTCAGTGGGGTGGTGGTCACTCTACAATCCACAGGGAGAATGCCTCAGAGCAGACAGCTGGAGTGATAATGTCTCTCACCAGCAGAGTGGGTTGACTGGGGATAAGGAGGAATACACTAATCCACGGCTCCTGGTTCACATTATACTCTGAACTTGTTCCAGGAATCTCCAGGAATCTTTTCAGCTTCAAAGCATACTCTCTCAAACAGCATGTTTGGTGGTAGCTCCTCTTCAGACTGCCTTCAATGTGTTAGAGGCTGAGCTATAGAATAACAGAGAGGAGGAGAGAAGAAGAGGAGGAGAGAAGAAGAGGTGGAGAGAGCAGAGGGGGTAATGAAACATGATCTTTTACAGATTCTAACATCAAATAGTGCAGGAACAAAACAAGCATCCATCTGTATTGTACATCTAAAATAAACACAGGATATATTTCCTGACAATTAGAACGTATGTAAACATCATGCAGTGCACAGGAACACACATTTTCTTCAACGCTCATGAACAAAGTTACTTAGGTTCGTATGGTGATCCAGAGAGGTTTGAGACAGAGAGAGGCTTGTTTGGTGCTTCATGCCTTAAAGGCTACCATATCTGGGGCCCATTAATACACAATACACCCAGCATCGCCTGATCTCTACACTCTTAGAAAAAAGGGTTCCAAAAGGGTTCTTTAATTTTAGTTATTTAACCTTTATTTAACTAGGCAGTTAAGAACAAATTATTATTTACAATGACGGCCTACCCCGGCCAAACCCGGACGACTCTGGGCCAATTGTGTGCCGCCCTATGGGCCTCCCAATCACGGCCGGATTGTGTTACAGCCTGGAATCGAACCAGGGTCTGTAGTGACGCCTCTAGCAGTCCCCATAGGAGAACCCTTTTTGGTTCCAGGTATAACCCTTTTGGGTTCCATGTAGAACCCTCTGTGGAAAGGGTTCTACATGGAACCTATAAGGGTTCTACCTGGAACTAAAGGGGTTCTACCTGGAACCAGAAACGGTTCTTCAAAGAGTTCTCCTATGGGGACAGCCGAAGAACCCTTTCAGGTTCTAGATAGCAACTATTTTTGTAAGAGTGTACAAGAGAACCCAGCCTGAGGGAGAGAAAAGGCTTTAAAAAGTCACAGACAGAGGACAATTAATGCTGAGATTTAGAGAATGGTTTCATTTGATAGTTTTGATCCCAACATCTGTCAGATATTCAAGCGTTGACTTTATACTGTAGGTGACAAATAGCAACAGGTAGCTTCATCCCATGTTTTCATCTTGATTTATGTTTTGAAAGGTAAACTTGCTTTTGAATGTATTGTTTTTACTAATTCATGATCCCACTCATGAGTTGGAGAGGTTGACACTCATACCACACACCAAAGCAGGTGTTGTCCAGAGTCCAGACTAAGCAAAATCATTTCCTGCTCAATCTTTAGAGGGGTGTTATCTCTTTCGTTTGACTAGTGTTAACTTGATGGGCCTTTCAGATGTTGAGCATCTGTTTTAAGTTCAGCTTTTTTCAATTGAAAGGAAGAAAGACAGAGTAAGACCATCTGTTCAGTGAAGGTCATGACCTTTACACTTCAAATGAGGGTGAACAGCACAACAGTAATGTCAAAATACCTCCAACTGTCTGTCATTATGACTGGGCAAAAGAAAAACAGATATCAGTGTTGGTCTGTCTTGGTGCAGAAAGGAACAGGTCTGCAGTTTGTCTTTGCAGATATCTTATTCAGCACATTGCACCATGCAAATGAACACTCCACAATAAGATGGAGGACAGAAATCCCAAAAAGAGGAAGAGGTCAGAATCTTGTGAAATGAATGTAAGCACGCATCCTCTGCCAATAACAGGAATACAGTGACAGATAATAATGTCATTCACCTACATTAAGAGGAGTTCAAGAATACTGAGTTTGCATGGAAACATTTATGCCCCTGGTACTGACTGAGAAAAGAAAAAGATAAGAATGTTTTACATTATTTAATTCTGATGTGAAGCAATGATAAGAGCCAAGACAATGAGTCCTACGGTAACGGTGGCATGATTTAGTACTTCCAAACCCTTTTAAACATTGTGTGTTTGAGCTACAGACTGCTGTTTAATAATCTTGACAGCTAGTGTGTAGATGCAGAGAGCGAGTGCCACCCTGGCGGTTGATGTATGCCACAACAGTTGTATTGTCTGTCCTGACTAGGATGTGACAATTCCAGAGGAAGGGCAGAAAATGTCTTAGTAAAAGGAACACTGTCAGCAGTTCGAGGTATTTTATATGAGCGAGGCAGAGTTGTGGTGACCACACTGCTCTTCCCATGTAGACTGCGCCCCACCCTTTGAGGGATGTGTCTGTTGTCAACACCTTCCTCATTGATACTAACCCTAGGGGAGTGCCAGAAACAAAGATTGAGGGGCCCTTCCTGAGACCCGAGAGACATTCTGAGGTTACCGTTATCTTTCGATTGAGGTGACGTTGTGTACACAGACGTTGGGCTGATAACCAATGCTGGAAGTCTCTCATTCTCAGAAGAACTAGTGGTACAAATGAGATGGTGGACACCATCAATCCCAACATTCAGAGACACGTTCTGAGCCTGCCCAAGCGCCCCCTGTGGAACAGGTAGAGGAACTGTTGGACCGGAGTGATGAAGCTGTCCGTGTAGCCCGATAAGAGAGAGAATCCAGCCTGATGCCTAGGTATTCTATTCTCTGTGTGGGCTCTTTATCTAGTTGATCTTGAGCCCTGTCTCGCACGTCTTGCTCCTGTGATGGGGAGCAAAGCAGGTGTCTATGTAGGAGGAGACTCTCAGTCCTCTGATTCTCAGGGGTGCTAGAACCACCTCCACATACTTGCTGAATGTCCGAGGAGCTAGTAGCCCAAAGGGGACAGCAGGGTATTCGTAGGCTGTGCCCTGAAAGGCAAATCTGAGAAACCACCTGTGTGCTGGCAGAATACTTATGTTGAAAATAAGCATCCTGTAGGTCGACTGAAGTGAACCAGTTTCCTTGAGGAATAGAGCGAGACAGCACATTGAGCGTAAGCATACGGAACTTGATCTTCCTCATATGGTTGTTGAGGACTCATAGGTCCAGAATGGGGAACACACCCCATTCCCCCCCCCCCCCTTCTTGGGAAGCAGGAAGTACAAGGAGTAGAAGCCGAAATGGCTCTCTTCCGCTGGTATTGCTCTGATTGCTCCCTTGCTCAATAGAGCTCTAGTATGCGAGCTGAGTCGCCACTTGCTATTGAAGCTAGAATCCCGTTGAAAACGGGTGGCTTCATTGCGAACTGCAGTCTGTACCCCTTTGTAACTGTGGACAAGACCCAAGGCCGGGCTGCGCATGCGCGCCCGTTCCCTGCTCTTGCGGCGAGTCGCCCACATGTTAGATGACTCTTGCTCGCCAGTGACAAAAATGTTAGTCAAACAGCTATTTTTCAGTGGCAATTGACAAGACGATAACTAACTAAATAGACCGAGAAAAAAATATAACTAATGGAAAAAGATGTTTCATTTCGGTTGACGTAAACGAGACGAGACAAAATTATCTCTGTGACTAAAGTCCGACTAGTAAATGGACTGGACAATAGTTTTTTGGAGAGATTGAGAGCTTTTCAGTGTTATTTACTTGGTCCAATCAAAAGCATGCATGACATTAGCAGAATTGTAAGGCTTTCTCATTGCAATGTTGGTTAGTGTTATTGGTGGAAAATAAATACCATGCCCAGGTCATTCACAAGTCACCTCTCTGCCCGGCAAATAAGGCACACGCCATGGCCTTATTTAGAGCCACTTTACTTATCGTATCGATTCAAACAAGACTGAATGCAAGTTGAAAATTGCTACCAATCTCAAGAGACATCTGAAAGCGCATCATCCCAATATACACTGAGTGTACAAAACATTAAGGGCAGCTGCTCTTTCCATGACATATACTGACCAGGTGAATCCAAGGGAAAGCTATGATCCCATATTGATGTCACTTGTTAAATCCACTTCAAGCAGTGTAGATGAAGGGGAAGAGACAGGTTAAAGAAGGATTTTTAAGCCTTGAGACAATTGAGACAAGGATTGTGTATGTGTGCCATTCAAAGGGTGAAAATACTTAAGTGCCTTTGAACGAGGTATTGTAGTAGGTGCCAGGCGCATCGGTTTGTGTCAACAACGCTGCTGCATTTCCCGTGTGTATCAAGAATGGTCCACCACCCAAAGGACATCCAGCTAACTTGACACAACTGTGGGAAGCATTGGAGTCAACATATGCCAGCATCACTGTGGAACGCATTCGACACCTTGTAGAGTCCATGCCCCAACGAATTGAGGCTGTTCTGAGGGTGCAACTCAATATTAGGATGGTGTCCTTAATGTTTTGTACACTCAGTGTATATTAAAATTATTCAATTAAAGGATTACATTTATTTTTATCATCAATTGCACACAAGGCCCAACCAAAACTTGACTGCCGCTTTAAACCCAAACCCTCTGAATCGGAGATGTGCGGGGGGCTGCCACATTGGACGCCTGGGAGCTGTTGTTGTGGGTGGGTTAACTGCCTTGCTCAAGGGCAGAAAGACAGATTTTTCATGTTGTCGGCTCAGGGATTCAAACCAGCAACCTTTCGGTTACTGGCCCAACACTCTAACTGCCAGCTCCACCTGCCGCCCTCATGCTAGGCCACTTGCTATCCTTATGCTAAGGAAATAACAGATGAATAAAAGCTAGTTAGTTTGCTGCAATCTATGAGACCACTACTTATGACAGAACTTTGATTACAATATAGCTACAGTCAAGGGGTGTGATATTCTATCTGCTGCAGAGTAATGTGTTCTTCTGCCAATTTGGCTGTTGGGAAGAGAATCATGCGATAGGATGTTATGCAGAAAAATATGTTGGTAGGACAAGGCTATGTATGTTTGGAAAGTCAGTGATATATGTTTAATATAGGTTAATGAAGCAATACAAATGTGATGTGACTAAAATGTGACTAAAATGAAAGGGCATTTAGTTGACTA